AAAATAATGGAGTGATTAAACAACTCGAAATTGCTAACTAATCACAACTTCCTTCAATTGTTCTAGAACCTAAATTTTCAACTTTTTGATTGCACAGTGTCTTAAACAGTAATATTAACTTAAAATATCTTTGGGATTCTGAAAATCTTACTTGGATCAGTTATACAAGTGGAAACATAATTGCTGCATACAATATAATTGGTTCACTATACAAATGTATGAAACCGTAAATAGATAAAAACAGTAAACAGCTTTGATACGACAAACAGAGAAAAAACAGTTTTGGAAAGATAAACAGGATTGAAACTTTTATAAGACAAACCGGGTTAAAAGTTTTATGAGACAAACATTGCTAAATGGCTTTGATAAGGCAAGCACGCGAAAAAGTTTTGATAAGGCAAACACATTAGACGTTTCTGGTAAGAGAAACACAGTAAAAAGGATTGGTAAAACAAATACTGTAAATATGTTTGGTACAACAAACAGAATAAATAGCTTCGGTAAAACAAACAGAATAAGTAGGTTTGTTAAAACAAGCACAGTGAATAAACAGCGATGGATATGTGGTATACTTACTGTAGATATACTTCAGGTGCTTTTAACACTTTCTTTAAAATATTTTCAAATGTTTAAACACGGCTAATAACATAATTATGGCTTTTTGCTTCAGATAACCAGTCGCACTTTACACAAGCTATTATTTATTTCCTGTATTATCCTCGGAACTACTTATAATCAGGCTAAGCTGAATTCCATGAAAACGTACTATTGTCTGCCATCGTAATTCCATTATTTTTTATGTTTGTAGTTATGCATAAAGCTACACAATGGGCTGTCTGGGCTGTGTCCACCACGGGTATCGAAACTCGGTTTTCTAGCGGTATAAGTCTGCAGACTTATCGCTTTGCAACTGGTGTCATTTCCATTATAAAAATGAATAGATAAAAACTGCGGATTCCATTGTAACAAACTTCTGTGAAGGCGTATTGAGTCACAAGGCAGATTTCATTCTAATATCCATCTGTTAATGACTATTGATTGACACCGTAGTTTTCATTTAAGAAAACTAAAAATCTTTTATGAAGGGCTATTGAATAACACAATTGATACCTTGGTAATAAATATTTGTGAAGGACACGGCGGAGTCCATTTGCGATTATCTGACACTGAAATATCCATGGTAGGAACCTTCTTTGAATGAATAATGACTTAAAACACGTAACAAACTTTTGTGAAGGACTATTGAATAACACCGTAGTTTCAATTGCTACAAACTTATGTGAAGACCCATTGCCTAACAATGTAAATTCCATTGTAACAGTTGTCTGTGAAGGAAGTCGAACGCAAAAGTTTCCATTGTAATATGTTTCTGTGAAGGATTATTGCATCATAAGGCAGATTCCAATTTAATAAATTTCTGTGAAATCCTATTGACTTACACTCTGGTTTCATTATTGTGAAAACTATTGACTGGTAATCCAGTTTCCATTGTAAGAAACAGCTGTGAAGAACTGTTGTGTTACAATGGAATCTGCTGTGTCAGGCTATAATCGTTACTGAAGTATGTTACAATGGAATCTGCTGTGTCAGGCTATAATCGTTACTGAAGTATGTTACAATGGAATCTGCTGTGTCAGGCTATAATCGTTACTGAAGTATGTTACAATGGAATCTGCTGTGTCAGGATACTTCAGTAACGATTATAGCCTGACACGAAAGATTCCTTTGTAACAAACTTCTGTGACAGAAGGACTATTGACTGACACCGAAGTTTCAATTGTGACGAACTTCTGTGAAGGACTACTGAATGCCATTTCAGTTTTATTTGTTAGAACCTTCTAGGAAGGACTGTTGCCTTAAATCGCAGTTTGCATAGTAACATATTTCTGTAAAGGATTATTTGCCTAACAGAGCAGATTCAATTGTAACAAACCTTTGCGCAGGATTATTGATTCACACCGTAGTTTTCTTTGCAACAATTTTCTGTGAAAGACAACCACCTCAGATTTATTTGTAACAAATTTCTGTGAATGATTATTATTGTCTGACACTACAGTTTCTATTGTAGCAAATTTTTGCATTTTGTGGTACTGTTAATTTTGGTTTATAAAATTGAAAGTTTAAAGAGGTTTGCTATGTTGTAGCTTAAAATATATATTAAACTAAAATGAGCTTCTGTTAATTACTTGCTGTTAGAATAGTAGACAATTATATGTTTAAATGTGTTATTAAAGTTACTGGTAAAAAACATACTTACACTCTTAGAAACACATTACTAAAACACTATCCAATCCTGATATCCAAAACAAAGTATAGAACCTTTAACTATATGTAAACGTAATCATTCAACCTGAGTGCTTTATGAAACTTAATTTCCTAAAAAAAGTTTTATACCGTGTAAACTGTTTGGTGCGTGCTACAAAAAATACATTAGAACATAGTAGCAGGATCATTAGGGTTTGATTTTTATATTTTCCTCACAACAATGAAATTCTGAACCTGAACATAAATATGTAACATATGAGAGCAGCAAGAATGATAAATAGATGTTCTCAAAAGGAAAACTATCTTTAAAAAAAAGCAAATCATTCCTGGTAAACTCAGGCACACCGTTTAAGGTGAATGTTAGCATAAGACAGTACATAAACTGATATTCTATCTTTTTCTTGAACAAATTAAAAAACACTATAAAATATATATCACGTTACATTTTTACTACAAAAAAATGTTATAGATGTTGAAGTTCAAAATTATACTACCAGAGGGCGACAGCTACACTCACATCATGAAATGAGTTTCTCAAGTTTTACAGCTTTTGATACCTGGAAATATTCAAGCTTTTTAGCTAAAGGTTTTAGTTATTTGAAAAAGTATATATGGCTAAAAAGTCATTTAGTAGATTAAGATAAGGAAATTATTTTTTAACCTACTTGCTGTCCGCTTTTACTTCTTTCAAATTATTATTAAAAACAAATTAGTTTTAGATCAAACCAACACAAACGTACTATATGAAAGAAACTTTCCCTACAGTTTCAAAAACAGAAACCTGTATTTGACGATTTGTTGCTGTATTTCAATTACAAATGTATATATACTTGAACTAGCTAAGAATTTATAATTGATCCGTAAACCGCCAGAATTCATCGTCAAACTGTCCTGTTCACTTAGTTCTTCAGGAAGCATGGATGTTAGCTTTGTCTACACTTATCCTTATTGACTCAGTTGTTCTTGTCCTGTTTTTCATGTATTGTATGTAGATCTGCTTTTAGAAGCTGCAATGCATTTTTGTTTTCAAACTATTTGGTAAGCTGCATAAAATTTGTTGAGGATGTGGTACCTGATGATGACAAAACCTTGTCGAAACGTTGTACATTTGCTGTTATGTTAAACTTATAATAAAGTTTTTTCTCATTACCCATTCAAGCCGTCTCCAACCGCTATATAAGGAATATATTCCACATACATATAAGCTTCATGTTGCCATTAAAGTGGTAGCTGGATTAACTTATAAGATCCAGGTTCTTGTACAGATTACCTTCAGAAATGCAAATCAAGCTCCAGTAGGAAAACTCATATACCACTAAGAACGTTATCATGTTATTTTACCTTTAAGTACCTCTAAAGGTTTTTACTTTGATTTAATGCTTGTCCAAAATAATCAGTCAGGTGTGAAACGAAGAATACGAATAATAATAGTAGTACATATCATAAAAGATTAATATATATATATATATATATATATGAGAATATTATCTGAAGTTATACTTAATAAAACATTTTACTTGCCACACGTTTTTCTCCTAATTAAAGTACTCCAAAAACAACTCCGAAGTAACGACTTATGACACTATTAGTTAAAATACTAAAAATGCTTTAATTTCGATTGAAAATATTGATTAGTCTTATTTCACACAGGTTTAGCAATGACAGTGTTTGTTATCATATAAATAACCATGCTTCACATCGAATTTTGCTGTCGAATGTCGTTTCATTAAAATGCCTTGCCATAGAGAATGTCGCGATCCTTTTAACCATTCACTACACATCAGTTAGATAATATATTTAACCACTAACGTTTTGATGGTGAGTAAATCTTACTTTTCCGTGTTCCACATCTAAAAGTCACATAAGATAATATTTTTAACCATCAAATTTTCACTAGTGTTTATGTTTTACCTCTTCATGCTCCATATATGACGTATAAAAATGTATATTTTATATTGAGTTAGAAATGTCTCTTTTAAATATTTTGGCGCGATTCTTGATTGAGAACAAAGTTTAACGAGATAGTTACATTTAAATAAGTTTCTCTTACCTTGTTCATTACGGTTCAAAATTAGAGTTACGGTTAGAATTACGGTTCAAAATTAGAGTGTGTAAAAAATAACATTTCAGATCAGTATTTTATCTTCTATAAGTCACTCCTTTCTAATTAAATAGTAGCTCTATTAGTTTTCAATATTTTGTCGGCTTTCGGCGTTTAAACTGTAACTTTTAAAGTATTATACTATGTATGTAAATAGAATTTCATAGAATCCTTTGTCTCTCATCGTTCAAATCAATTGATAAGTTCTGGCATTGAACGAAAAGCTTATAGTGGGAGATAAACAACAAAACATAGATCTTGAAACTTGTGGGAGATAAACAACAAAACATAGATCTTGAATACTACTATCTTTTTTTGCATCTCATTCCGAGCCACAATGGACAAACTAAGAGGAATCTAAAAAAAACTACAGTTAATTTGTATTTATAACATTTTCACGCGTATTGGTTTCCAATTTTTTATCGGCTTTCGGCGTTTAAACCGTAAATCTTATATGTGACTAATTCAATAAGCTGTTTTTGCCCTATTAACTTAATCTTGCGTTAAATAATAAATTTAACACTTGACTGGTGTTGAAATATACGTTCTTTTATGCTTTTGAAAGTCAAAAATTTAAAATATAAATATTCTATATATTCAATATATATTATATATAAAATCTACTTAACCACACCTGAATCTTTTGACGTGGATGGTTTGTTACCAGAGTTATCCGTTTTTGGGAATTTAGGGCTATCGGTAGGAGACTGAGTCTGATGAGTTCTTATATTCATTGGCGGGAATACTCCTGCTAAGCTAGGAATTGGAAGGGATCCAGGTCTTTTTGGCCTCATGACTGTTTTTTCATTAATATCTGCGTCTTTATCTGATTTAAAATGTTCATGATCTTCTTTTCCTACAAAAGAATCATCTTGACTTGTATTCTCACCCTTCTCTAGTTGTTGACAGTATTTACCTTGCATTAAGTTATTACTTTCATCTGTTGTTTTATTCTCCTTGAGGGGATCTCGATCATCAGATTTTAGTTTTAGTTCTGATACATTCCACAGTAACCGATTATCCTGTGGGGACCTTGCATTTTGCGAATTGCTCCTCAACGGCTGGTTTTTCTCTGGTGCATTTTGTTCAGACTTTGAGAGCTGACTATTTTCCGAAAAAGGTATATTGGTTTTTGAAATATCTTTTAAGCCATTTTGGTCAGTTCGAGAGACTAAGTGTTTGCACCGTATAAACAACTGGGGATTGTTTAATGACTGCTTCGAGTCAAACATTGAAGAATCTTTTTTAAAACCTGAAATAAAGGATTTTGATAAAGATTTTTCTTGATCAGATGTATTTGAACGCTTTGGAGAGCCCCACATCTCAAAGCGTTTCAAAAATTTCTTACCACTGTCTGTCCTTTTATTTTCTAGATTTATGGAAGTAAAAACATCGGGTTTGTTTGCGTGAGCATTGTCTATAAAAGCACCGTTTTCAACAAATAATTTAGAAGTGAAATTATTTTTATCTGTTTTGAAGTTTTTGCGATCTAAAGAACCTGTAAGTGTCTCAAATGATTTAGGTTTTCCAATTTCATAGTGTTGCATTTTTCTTGACATTCGACTATCTGATCCAGGCACTAATTTGTTGAAAGACTTCTCTTTTTGAATCATGTTACTTGTAGAAACTAGGCATTGGGGGTTAATGGCTTTCTTCGAATATTCTGGAACAGATTCTGTGAAGGAAGATTCCTTCTCACAGTTTTTCTTCCCGAGAAACGGAGAATCCCTTCCATATTTCTTCAGTTCAAATTCTGTTCCTTTCGTTAGTCCACATACAGGAGGAGGACCTGTGTTATGGTTACGCGAATGAATAGGCGAAGAACGGGGACTATCTCGCACCAGAGTCACTTTTCTTTTTTCTGTGGGACAAAACTGAGGAAGAGCCTGACGAAGAACCCTACGTGGCGACTCCCTAGCTATAACATATGGTTGGTGGGTTGGTGTATTAGAAGAAGATCCGCTGGTGGAAGACGGCGCGGAGCCTGATCTTGGCCCAGAGCTGTGTCTTCTTCGTCTGAACTCTGACAGCACGGGACTTTGAGCCAACTCGTCAATATCCTCTACTTCACGTCGAACTTTGCTGTCGAATGCCGTTTCATAAAGATGTCTTGCCATCGAGAATGTCACAGTCCTTGTTTCAGTACTTCAGCTTTGTATTAGCCTTCATTCTCCATAACACTGTAAAATTCTGAAAGAAAAAATATTCAAATGTTTTGTAAAATTGTAAATATAGATGAGAATAAAAATATACAATTTAACGTGACTATTTTAAAACTAAAACTATAATTATATTATATATGCAGCTTAAAACATGTCATATGACTAATGAAGCCAAATCAATTGAACTCCTAGAACCTAGACAGATGCAACAAAGAGAGTGTACCCTTTCATTTCCTATTCGATTACTTTTACAGTTTCTATTATTTTAATTCTTAATTAGAAAATTAGAATACGTTTGACTGAACTAATGAATTAATTAATTGTAAGTTATATTAATTAAGAAATAATAATTCATTTAATATAAATTACTCTAATTTCACGTCTAGGTTTATTGTTTATAGTAAACGTAAAACAAAACTACATCCACATCTAGACCCGAATATAATCTACTGATAAAAATATTAAGGCACATGTCAAAGATTTCATGTTATTAGTAGTACAAATAGAAATCACGAAAAAGTTACGTTCGTCGCTAGAACATTTACGTATGACACGGTAGAATAATATAAATTACCAAATTAACTGACATTAAGTTTCAACATTATCAAAGTATCTGATTAATGAACAATTCTAACAGAGAATGTACTGCAGATATTTAAATTAAATTTTAGCTTTGAACTATTTAACATGTTTCGAGTGTTTATTTTATATAGCCCGGATATATTATATAGACATTAAATTGTCAGTTGAGCACTTTTAATTATATAAATTAAAGAATATTGATGTGAAAACAATGTATATATGAATGTTATTGTTTTCTCCATCTTCTCTTAAGGTATATTTATGCTATAATATTATCAATGCTATCTGCACTCTCTCATTTCTGTCAGAAATACTTATATATCAATGCTATAATTTTTTCTATATTTCTTTCTTTTCTCTCCCAGGAATACTTATAAATATGTGACTGATATCGCTGTCTCCATCTCTTCGTCTTCTCCACGAGGAATATCTATATATCAGTGTTCTCCGTCTCCCCCTCTCTCTTCTCTGTTAGGAATATTTATACATATAGCAATGTTATCAATTTCTCATTTGTTTCTCTTTCTCGTCTCTGTCAGGAATTCTTGTATATTAATGTTATCATTTCTCCATCTCTCTCTCTCTCTGTTTTCTGCCAGGATCATGTATATATATATATCTATATCACTGTTCCCAATCTCTCTCTTTCTCTTCTCTGTCTAGAATATTTATATGTCAATGTTTTCATCTTCTCCACCTCACTCTCTCTCTCTGTTTTCTCTCAGGTATATTTATGCATCAATGTTATCATTTGATTCATCTCTTTCTTCTCTGTCGCGAATATTTTATATATAAATGTTATTTTCTTCATCATACATACTATGTCTTCTTTGTCAACAATATTTATATATCAATGTTATCATTTTTATATCTCTCTTTTTTTTAAGGAATATTTATTTATCGATGTTTTCATATCTCTACCTTCCCTGTGTGGTATGTTTATATATATCAATGTTATTAGTTTATCTCTGTTTCTTCTTTCCGTACATTTGTTTTGTTTGTTTGTTTAAAATTACGTTCTTAAGGTTGTAAGTCCACAGACATACCGCTGTGCCACTGGGCGTTTAATTGTTTCTTAGTTAAAAAGATGTTAGGGCAATTCTAATGTTTCGGCTAAGCTTTAATATAGGAATTTTTAAATGTTATTTAGTATAAATATGTTTCCCCAAAAAAACTAAAAATTGAATACACTACTAACTATATCAATACCTGTTTTAATAATAACTTAAAAAGCAGGTCAGTGATTTATTGTGGTAGGTTTCATATTCTGTTCATTTTGTTCTTCTACAAGCTCTAAAGCACTTAATGAATTTCTTTCTATTTTATTCTTGTTTAGGTGAACGATTGATAGTCATGGAAATAGAGAATTAATGAGAAGAATAAATTAATTTGCATAACATTATCTTTACACTGATAATATAGGTTACAGCTGATTAATCTTATGGACAAGTCTTTCTCTTCATTTCTTTTTGCATATTACTCACGAAGCTTTTAGGGCCATTCGTTTATAAATGATATCTAAGTCTTTTATTTTTTTCTTATTGGAGAACCTATAACAGTTATGACTACATTTGTAGTATTTGTAAAATACTTGTGAACGTCTTTTTGTTTATTAGATTTAAAGTTCAGTGTAAATATAGATTAAGAAGTTCTGACCAACGTACAAAAACTTTCAATTTTTTTTCGCAGTTCGTACGACTTCTATTTCTTATGCCCGTTTCGTAGACATTTGTAGTTCGTATGCGTCTTCATAAACAGATTATGGTAAGTTTAAGTGATCATATACACATGTATTTTCTATGCCACCTTTATATATGGATTGTAGTAGGTATAAATTATAATATATACTTGTAATTTGTATACTGTTTTACTGTCTTCATATACAGATTGTAGAAATGTGAATTATATGCCGAGTTGCCTTAAGTCAAGAATTATTTGATTTGACAGTTAAACTCCTTTATTCAACATATTTATTACAAGATGGTGACATTGAGTTAGAAAGTTTTAAAGGTAGGATGATGTTGTGATGGTTAATGTTAAGGAAAGTTTAATGTAATGTAGTGTGATCTACTTATTTAATCAAATTGCATTCAAATTTCTATCTTAAATGTGTTTCGAAAAGTATTCGAGTTTTAAAAAAATAGACAAAAAAAATGCACATATCAGTGAACCAGTACTGATAAGTATGGTGAATTATTGGTTTAAATATCCATTTTCTCGCTCTATCGTAGTATGTTGACATAATAAAGATATGCTGAAATACCAGTGTTTCACATTATATTATTTTGAAAACATTGTTAAGATACTGATATGCGTTTACTTCTCTCTGGTGGTAGAAACTGAGTTAAATGTCCACTAAGTCTTATGTTATATAAATTTAATCAGTTAATGAGGCAAACTGATTCACATTGATTAGCTATCATTACGATGTCCCAGACTGAATAGCCTAGTGTAAAAATGTCTCATAGCGTCTTACATTCATTAGCCTAGTACAACAATGTCTTACACTAAGTAACCTGTTGTCATAATGTCTCAAACTGATTAATATGGTGACTTGCATAAGATGCGCTGATGTCGTATTAGGATTTTAGTTGTAACTATTTCGAAATCTTTCTTTAAAAATAAAACAAAGTTTTTCAAAACGTTACAGAATTTCTTTTTCAAAGTAGAATATGTTTGTTAAAATCACCTGTTCTTGGTTTTCTTGATTATTTTATATCAAGGTTCTCTGATGAAACTATATAGCTGTATAAACTCTTAAAATAATCATCACAGCCACTGTGGTACCATAAATATTTTGATGACTCTTTTTTTTTTTTTGCAGTTAGTAAATAAATAATGAAAGCGGTCTTCGACAATAATATGAACTCATCTTGAAATGTCTAGTGACATCATAGCAGGAGTATAGAAGAAAGAAGCTTTAAGAACAACTGATGTAATGTGGATTCAACTTCTGATTTTATAGCACTTAGATAAAACTATTAGATAAACGTTATTTCACAGCAACGCAACGGTATTCATAACATTAGAATATCCGTTATTTACTTATATACATATAAATTACTCGTAATAACGATTATGATAACTCTACGTAACCAATATCAAACAAGTTAAATTAAATACACGATTTGACGATCACCAAAAAAAAAAGTTTGGGCAAATACACATTTGAAAAAAGAACTAAAAAACTGACAAGGTGTCATTACTCTCTCTGTATGGTGACTCGTAATTCTTGATTATATAAAGTATAATTAAATAATATTATAATGTCTGTACTCTCTTAATATGGTGATTCTCAACAATTGACTACATAAACGTATAACTAAACATGAATTACAAGTGTTTCCACTCTCTCATTGTGACGATTCACACCACTTGATTGTATAAAGTATAACTAAACATGAATTACAAGTGCCTCTACTCTCTCAATGTAGTGATTCTCATTACTTGATTATATAAAGTTCAACTAACAGTTAAGTACAAATATTTCCATTCATTTAATGTGCTTATATTCAACACTTGACTATAAAAAGTATAAATAAATACGATTTACAAATGTTTCTACTCTCTGACTCTGATGATACGTAGTGCTTGATTATGAAAAGTATGAATTATCATGATGTGTGGCCACTCCATAATAAAAGCTATGTTACTTAAAGTAAATTTATGTAGTTCGTAAGTGGACGTGTACTCGATTTTTACTTATTTGTATACTTTCATGAATGGTCCAGTGGTTCTACTTAGTAGTTAGATTATCTTTGTTGTGCTTAAAGTAAGAAAGTTATAAGTTCAATATTACTCTACACCTTTATTCTGCATAGTTCTTCATCAGGCACGTAAGAAGTGACATTTAGTTTCTTAAGACATTTTATAGAACAGTATTTACATGGAATATTGGCATTTTTCTATAAACATTAGGAACATGCAAAAAATTTTGAAATGAAATCAGTACGCTAAATGTTCAGGTTTTAGTGTATTGTATAAAACAAAAGAATAAGAATAATATAATAATCCCAAGCTGTTTCAGCTACTGATTCAAAATAAATTATATTTCGTTTCACAAATGCTCGTAAATCATGGCCTTATGTCTAATACTTTATGAGCTTACCAAATGAAACTGGTATGTTTAGACAACAAACTGTCTAAGTACGGATAGACTATGTAATGTGGTCGTTTCCTGATCTGTTCACTGGGTAAATCACGAATGTTTTTTTTCATACAAAATATTTTCTTGCTTTTATAGAACAGATTAAGCTATAATATAGTTATGTTGCTTTACATTTTTCCTTCAGAATTTTTCGTGAATTTTTCACTGTTTAATATTCGAAGTAAAATTCCAGTAAAAAATCAGCAATAAAATACCTAAACAGTACTGCCTGAGAAAAATATTTTACTGTTAATTGTCATCGTTGTTACATAATGTTTATGTGCAAAAGTATTTTCTTA